CCTCTATTGTAAGTTAAGAATTTAGAAGACCGTCTCCGTTCAGCTGTGTTACCGGTCACAGTGTGGTAGATTCTATGCAAAGCTGATGTGATGTGTGTCCCCCGCCTCTCTCCCCCTTCCTCACCCAGCCTGTTTATTTACCACTCAGTATGTGTCGACTCCAGGATGAGCCGTGTGCTAGCATGTGGATTCAGAGAAAGCTTGTGAGTGTGTGCATGTGTATGACCGTGTGTGTGTGTGTGTGTGTGTGTGTGTGTATGAATTCCTCATGTATCCCATGATGAGCATGTTCTTGTGTGTTGGCAGATCTTTTACTAATCATTCCTTTCTGTGAGCCGTAGATGTTGTGTAGTTTTCGAGTGTTTTTCTTCTTGTTTGTTCTTTACCTTCCTTTACCTCTGCGTGTTTGTGTCTTCTACATTCCTAGCTGTTCTTTTTTTTCATATGTTCAGATACCAAGACCATGGAACTAGACTATCAAATCATTTGAAATATGAAGTTGTGACTTTAAGCTTCAAGTTTAAACTGTGATGTGAATGAGGACATCATGGATGACGCAGAGCTGTCAAACTGGTGTAAAGATTCTTCTCCTAAACACTCCAGTTATACGTGATGATTCAGACAGGATAGTTTAACCCTGTGTCAACCAGATTCCACTTTCTTTAATGGTAGCTTCAGTGTAAAAGATCCCTAGCTCACAGAGGGTTAAATAGATCAGGCATCACATTCCTGTGGAAGTTGGCAACAACTAACTGGCTGACTGACACCAGTTAAATGATCTTTGTTTTCATCATCTTTGGCAGTGTGTTTTATTAAAGGGAAACTTGGTGACATGTTTCTTTAGTCACTGTTCCCTTTTCTTTTGTGGCATCAGAATTTGTCTTGGTGTGTCTTTTAGTCATTGTTTCCATGGTAGCAGCAGGGCCCCTGGCCCCTGCAGGCCCAGAGATCAGAGAGCAAAGCATCATCTTACACATGATTTCATCACAAAACTAAAACTGTGGAACTAAGAAAGCCAAATGAGAGCGTTCTGTATCTTATTTTGAAGGTGATGTCCAGATCTGCAGGTACCATCCTTGTTCTTCCCGTGACACTAAGACAGTTTTGGGATGATGATGGATGCAGCCCTGTGGATAACACATCTCTGTTGTTATACTGACAATAAACAATATGTAGATCTGATGTTTTGGGATTAATTCCAACACTACTGTAAGTGGAAGAAGAGAGACTAAGTAAAACATACCTCTTTTTTATTCTATCATGTGGTGTCACAGTCCCACTCTGTGTCTCTAGTCCTGACTTATCGTAACTAGCAGGTTGTTTTGACGGTGTGCAGTAGTTGTTTTTGTAGGATGTCTTGTCCACTAGCTGGTCTTTTCTACTTCCTGACACTTTGTAAGTCAGTGTGAACTGTAAAACCTTTTTAACATTGAAGATTACAATCTTTACCAAGAGAGAGCTTCTAGATTTTTAAAAGGAACATTTTTAAAAAGGACTCGGAGAAATAAATAAATAAAAAAAAATTCATTTTCTGAAAATGCTTTAAAAGCTTTTTGTAAAGCCATAAGCTGTTTGTGACAGGCAGGTTTAAGGGGCTGTGCTACTTCAGGACAAATTTTATTCTCTAACAATAGAAAAGGAAGAGCAATAAAATCAAATGGCAGAGCATCACACTGCAGCAACCTGGTGAAAGAGATGTTTCATCTTTTTCATGTACTGCTGGAAAGGGTTGCAACAGCATGGACAGCTTTGCTTCCAGACAAAGGAGGTGGCAGTTGTTAACTGACAGTGTCTGCTGGAAACAGTATGACAGCTGCAGCAGACTGAGCTCCACTGTGTTATGGAGAAATAAAGTTGTTGGTTAAAAACTGCCCGTCTCTTTGCCTCATTGTTGTCTGCAGCTCTAATACTGTCCTGTAGATGGTGATTAAATTATTGTGAAGTAATGATGGATTGTGGGGATTTGAAGAGTCACAGTTTTCTGTAAATGATCTGTTGCTGCAATAAAAGGTTTGGGACAACACAGCAATGACTCCTTTTTTTGTTTGTTTGTTTTTTAATATTAACACATTTTGTGTATTGCTGAGTATTAATGGGGAGAAGAGGAGCTGATCATATCCACTCACCTTTCACATGCACTGCATACAGGCACTACAGACGAAGCTCAGCCTCAAAAATCTGTACAGAAGCTGCTTCTATGAAATTATAGTTCACTTCATGATGGGTTCACCTTCCTCAGAGGTTCTCTACCTGTGGTACTGAATCTAAGAATGATCTAAAATATAATATAATTAATGTAAATGCTATCATCTATAAACACAGCCACAATATAGTGGTGGAAGTTCTCAGATTTAAGTAAACACCATTGTGGTTAAAGTTCTCAATTCAACATACTACTAAAGCATAAGTACAGAATTTTAAAGTGATACGTATCAGAGTATCAAGTATTTACTGTGACATTACATTGTTAATACTGATGCATGAGTAGTATATTACTTTTGTGTTCATGTGAAGCTTTAACCAGTGATGGGCAGACTAATTCTTTTCATAGTATCAGTTCCTTCGAGTTGATTCATGTCAATGTATCGAACATTTTGACTTTTGATACTTTCTGCAGAGTATAATGTCAGTTTCTCTGTGAATTATTAAAGCTACAGTATTAATTTTAATGCATTGATTCAGCATCCCAAATGTATGTAGATAGGCCATTTAAGCTCAATATGATGTTGCAGACATGTTACTGACCAAAAATCTGTTCGAGGACCAAGTAGCAGACATCCAGTTACCTCTGCAGCCTTGTGCTGCATTCATGTAGTGTCAATAACCTGAAAAATTAGTTCCTGATCGTATTTCATGGCTCACCTGTTCTACTTCTAGGGCTGTGCCTGATTTAGAATTATGTCAGTCCAATCAGATTTTGCTGTTCAGTACGAATATATGACTGTTAGTTCCTTTTTGTCCATATAGAGTTATTTGAGTTTGAACGGGGCTCAGCGGGATGTTAGTGTGACAGTGACGTCCATGTAACATGGATTGGAAATGTGCAACAACATTTAGACTTTAGATATCAAGCAAAAGCCAGAGACTGTGTAACATGAAGTTGTTATGAGCTGTAAATTCACTACTTCTAAGCAGAAGAGAGAAAACAGCCTTATTTTGGAGCCTGACTGAGCAAAGCCTCTCTTCCTCTGGGCAGCTGCCTCCATGTTCCCAGCTGCCTGACCAAAATATCCCCAGAAGTACACCACACACTGAGTGGCAAAAAAACAAACCAAAAACCCCCCATACTGCTCAACTTGAAGCAATCTCAGAGAACACAGAGTTTATGGCATCCATTACCTCCCAGGCCTTTGATTTACCTGTCCCTGTCACTCCACTACTCACAGAAGTAAAATGTTTTTCTCTACACTTCACCCAAAATAACATCAGTCTCAGCGTCATAAGTTTTTCTTTCTCTCTTTCGTTTTCTTTGCTCCATGTTCGCAGGTCGACAGGATGCACCTATCCATAGTAATTATCACCTCCATATATGGTGTCACTGGCTATAAATGGGCAGGGATGTATGCTAATTGCTGACTAGCAGGAGCACGCTGTCAATTTATGATTGATTGGCATTCTTGAACACAAAATGGACCTACGATCAAATCTGAGTTTCCTGTGGCATTCATGAATCTGGTGTAGGTTTTTAGTACCAATGTTTTTATGTGCACATCTACTCACAGATTTCATAAATAAGTCCACATGAGTGTAACTGCCAGGCTGTCTGGACTGGAGTCAGATTCAGTTGCTTCTCATTCACTCAGTGCGCTGCTATCAGGCAGCATAAGTAGTATCCTATGGCAACTGTGAGTGGGAAAAGTTGTGGGTTCATCAGCACTTAGACGTTTAACAAGCTGACCCAATACACATGACACACAAAAAAAGAAGCAAGCTTTGTTCAAAAGAATTAGTTCATTCATTTTTGCCCATCACTACTTCAGTCCAGTGGTTCCCAACAGTTATTTAAATAAATTCATCTGAGGAGTTAAGTGAAAGGTCCTTTTGCTGGGATGTCTAACAAACTCACAGGCACCTCAAATGTTTCAACCAGACCCTGTCTTTTGGTATAGGGGGTCCCAATCTACAAAGGTTTGCTAGCTGCTAGTTTATGGGTGGTGATGCATAAACCCGAAGCAAGAGAGAAGGAGAAGAAGGGAAAGTTGGAGGAAAGTAGACTTCTCCTCACATGTGTAAGTCTGAAAAAGCCAAGGCAGTTCACAGCTGCATCCGAGCAGGTCATACAGAAGAGGTAGTTCAAGAGGTAGTACGGATTACTGTTAATTTATCATGTTGATCTGTTCTGTACAACATCTATTGCACGTCTGTCCGTCCTGGAAGAGGGATCCCTCCTCAGTTGCTCTTCCTGAGGTTTCTACCGTTTTTTCCCCCATTAAAGGGTTTTTTTGGGGAGTTTTTCCTTATCCGCTGTGAGGGTCATAAGGACAGAGGGATGTCGTATGCTGTAAAGCCCTGTGAGGCAAATTGTGATTTGTGATATTGGGCTTTATAAATAAAATTGATTGATTGACTGATTCATCCACACCACTCAAGTGAAATGCAAGAATATCTTTGTACTTTAGTACAGTACTTGATTAAATGTATTTAGTTACATTCCACCACTTCCACACTATCTGGCTGTTTAAAGGCAGTATGACTCAACTGTCTGTTGTACTAAATCTGGCCACAAAGTGTCCCCATACCTCTGGCATATCTCAGGAGGGCAGAGTGTAGCCCTTCATCCTACACAGGAATCTGTTATAATGTCTGTAACACAGGATAGGAAGATTAGGACTGAAATACCATCAGAATGTATTAGTATAGTGCGGTAAATTAAATGAAGGGATTTATTTTTTCTCTTCCCTTACAGCATGAACCCTTGACAGTTACCATTAGGTTTAGTCTGATGCTTTCAACAACAAAGGACAGTGTACAGTAATGACTGATGCCAAAGTACACCTTTGTTCCTTATCCATCTGTACATTTACTTTTATTTGTACTGATTCATCTTTGGCAGACAGAGACCCTTCCTTGGGTAATGGCTCGGGTATACATCTGTCTTTGTTTCTTGAAACTATCCGGAAGTTGCAGAGCGGATGATGCCCTCCAGAATATCCACCTGAAAGAGAAGATCCAGTAAGATGCTTTGAGTTGTTTGTCATGTGAGCTGATCACCATGTGTTCATGTCACTCAGCTTTCAAACTGCATCAAATGGCTGACAGCTAATGCACATTAAAATAAAAACCAAGGATGACATATATATGACATATATATATATACTGTATAATAATACAGTGAGTTCAATAAAAGCTCATCAGTTGCGCTTATCAAAACCGATTTCACAAATATATTGCCCTGATTATATAGTAACTAGTGTTGTTGGTTAGTAGTTCATTAGAAGTATTACATTTGTCCCACAGTCCAACCGTATAGGTAGGTAGTGACGTTCTGGTGGTAAAATAGATAACTACTGACACTACTGTGCAGGAGTGTGGAATCAGTAGTTATTTATTTTATATATTTATGGATGTAAACTGTAACTGCAATTTAACTGGTTGACGGAGGCAAACAACAGCAAGGCAGTAATTCTAGTTTTCTCTGTTTAAATAGCCAATATTGAAATACGATGTTGAATAATTGCCAGAGAAGTGTTTTGGCAGAACATTATGATGTCACAGTGAACTTGACCTTTTGAATATAAAATGTCATCACTACATCATTTTATCCTATTAGATATTTGTGTGAAGTCTTGTCATAATAATTCTGTGAATTCTTGAGTCATGGCCAAAAACATGTTTTGTGAGGTCACAGTGACCTTTGACCACCAAAATGTAATCAATTCGTTCTAGAATCCAAGTGGAATTTAGTGACAAATTTGAAGAAATTCCCTCAATGCCTTTTCAAGATATCGGGTTCACAAGAATGGGACAGACGCAAGGTCACAGTGACCTTTGACCACCAAAACTGAATCAGTTCATTCTAAAATCAAAGGGGGCGTTTTTGCCAAACTTCAGAAAATTCCCTTTAGATATCATGAGAATGAGACATAAGCAAGGTCACAGTGACCTTGACCTTTGCTCACCAAAATCTAATAGTTCACTGTTGCATTCAAGAGGACATTTGTGCCAAATTTTAATAAAGTTCCTTCAGTTACTTTATTGTAACTTCATTACTTCATTGTTGAGTTCAATTGACATTTGTGTCATATTTTAAGAAATCCCCTTGAGGGGCTCAAGGGGATTTTGCATAATTGCAAAGATAATGCATTCATCAAAATGATACAGACAACCTGAAACATAATGCCTCAAGTCATAGTTTGCGCAGAGGCATAAAAAGACATTTCTCTTATATCCGTCAGAAAATGTAAATAACTCAGGGAGATTCCCAGCTGTGTGGTCCATGCATTAAATTACATGCTGTGCATCTGCAAAATTAGAGACTGCACATGCAGCTTCCATCTGCTGCAGTATAACAAGCATGTCTGTCTACAAGTCAGGCTCTTTGTGCTCAGAACTTGGTCTGAGGCTCTGGACACACAAGTAGACATAATTTGTTGATAACATATGGAGCGCCCTGCATCCAGCATTCCAAGTTGTTCTAATGAATTTCCATTAGTTTATTTTGCCTACAGGGAGTCTGGCCTCCTCAGCATCTGCCTACACTGTGTATGCCAGCAGGAGGCTCCTATCTCTCAATTTTACCTGGCTGCTCTGTCCCACACTGATGTTCCTGAGCTTGTAGACAGTCACTTGTCCATCACTGTCTCCAACCAGGACACAGTCTGTCTGTGTGGCAAACAGCAGGGACTTCATCTTCACACCAGCAGCAGCAGGTTGCACAATGATTGGGTCTAAGCTGAAGGAGACGAATGTATATGGTGATGCACAGGTTTGACATCAGAGAAACAAACAGGGCAACCAATCAATCCCCCCTCTGTCTCACTCACGTGCTTGAATTCAGGTCCCAGATTTCCAACTGTCTGTCATTAACAACTCCAAACACTGTGGCCCACTTTGGGGACCACTTGATGTCCCACACTGCTGTCTGGGTGGAGGTGAAACCTAACACAGGGTTTTGGCGGCCCTGCTTCCACAACTGGATGGTCCAGTCTGAGGAGCAGCTCAGGAACACATCAGGACTGAGTGGACTCCATGTGATGCAGTTCACGGGACACTGAGGGACAACATGTGACATTTACTGGAGTTCTCTCTGATAATTCAACCCAAATAACAACATTAGCAACAAGTGGTCAACGAAATAGATTTTAGCATCTACCAGGAAAGTGTACCATTAGTGCAACAAAGATGTATTACAGGGACCCAAGAAACATTAAAAATCTGAGGATGTCCTCAAATGAGGTGATGAGAAGATAAAAGGCTATTTTCTAACCTTAAAGGGACAGTTTAGTCTCTTTCCAGAAATCATGACCTGGTTACTCAAGACAATCCACAGACTTTGTTGTGAGCAGTTTCACGCAGAAACTATTTTCTTTCTACCGAATTGCACCCACTGAACATATCACTGTGCATAAGCAAGCGTGCATCTACTCATGGATGAGAGCCTTGTGCTCATGACAGTGCAAGATGTAAAAATTAACAGGGTTCTCTTTGGTTGTGCTGTAACATTAGCTAGCTCAGTGGTGCTGAGTGCGCTAGCAGCAGATGCATGCCTCCTCCTGCAGGGTGATACAGTTGACGGGACAAGTAGGGACAGTAATTCATTAAAGGATTAAAACAGCTCACTCTTGATGAAATGAAACAAGAGCTTGTGGTCTTTTGTGTTTTACTTGCTTTAAATCAGTCTGATCAGAAGGAGATGGTGACTTTTATTCTGATGGACTTACATGGTGTTTCCTGTAAGTCTCCAGAAACTGCTGACTGTTGGAACAGGAGCATCTGTGAATGAGACCTTCCCATGTGCCAACCAGGTAGACACTGGAATCCTGGTGGAGCAATGAAATACTGGTGTGATGCATGATTACAGTGATAAAAACAATCACTTAAAAAGTCAAAGTCCACTAAACAACAACCTTAGACATATTAATTTACTAAAATTGTCAACGTCAGCACCGCACCTGCATTAGCATCAAACACATCTGTTAATATGTGTTGATTTGTCCACAGAAACAAGCTTTTAAGGCCAGGAGCTATGACCAGCTGATATCAGTCCATTTATATTTTGAGTTTCTGTTGCCAACTTACTGTGGGATGGAAGTCAAAACACAGACCAGGAGTCAACGCTGACTGAACACTCTCTGTCTTCTTCTCTGTCTTGGTCCCTCCAGTCCTCTTTTTTGTATCATGAATCCTCTTGAGCTTCATCAGGTCTATGGATGGATGGATGGATGGATGGATGGATGGATGGATCCAAGATGGACGGACAGAGAGGAAGACAGATAGATATCTACATTACCTATCAACAGTGTACAGTATTTACAAACAATAACTTAAATATTGTACTTTACATTAACTGAACAGTATATACATGTGTGAGGTGGACATACTGAAAGTAATGCAAAATTAAATGCAAATGATACTTTCAAGTTGTGGTGCAGTTATCGGTCACATTATAAAGCTAGGGTAGGCAGGGTTTTTTTTGCATCACTGGGCAAGAATCCCATGGTAACATTTCAACATATCGTTAATTAAGTAAGAAAAGAGAGAAAATTTGACTTCTGCACCTCCTCTTGGCCTCTCTCAGGCTTGAGGAAATCTAGCTGGTGACAATAGATTTTGGCCAATCTCAGATCATTTCAGAGAGAGGGCGTTCCGTTCTACAAACACAGATGCATGTGCATGTTCCTATAGTGAAAGCCTGATTCAGTGGCAGAAAATCCTGCAGAGACTGTTGGCAACAGCTGCCTACACTGCAGAGCAAATACTCATAAAAAGATAGTCTGACTATAAACAAAATAAAACATGTGTCAGTACTGGCAAAGCGTTTCAGACATGGAGAGAGAACTGATTGTTTAACTTTCTGCTAAGCGTAACCAAAGGCTCATGGTTGCGGCTTATTCAAGTTTATGGTTATGTAGCTAACGTTAGCTGGAGCCTCGATCAATGTGTCATCTCAAAGACCTTTACAGGCCTGTAAGTTTGCAAAATAAACAGCATGGTAATTCTCAGAGTTGCCACTGCATAACGTCATCTGGATCACAATCACGATCAGCATGATTGAAATAAATGACTAAAACTCATACAGGTTACTGTATGAACTATGTGCATATGCCCGTGCTCGTTTGGTAGAAGGAGTTTAGGACAGAGGGGAGGGGGAGGGGGAGGGGTGCTTTCAAATTCTGGCTGTTTATTTTTTATTTTTGCCCCTGTGTTAAAGGGGAAAATTCAGAGCATATGATTTGTCTGAACACAGTTCTCGACATGATGGTGGCTAGGCAGGCTAATAGCTAATGGTGCTAACGCAAAAAAAAAAAAGCTCTTAACAGTGACAACTGTGCTGACAGAGCTAACGGTGTTAAGCAGGGGGGAAGTGAAGGGTGGCTGCTACACTTCTGAAATATCGTCATCCTCATATCAGCTGTAACCTCTGTGTGAGTCCAGTGTGAATAGGTGATGGCAATGAGCTAGCCAGTAGACTGGACTAGACTATCATAAAAAAACAACGAAGAGGGGCTGGGATTATAACACACACAGAGGGAGCGTGGCTTCACTCTCTGCTCAGGAGGCCATTACTCCACTATATCTTTATATGGCAAATAATGGTTTAATGCAATAACAATGCTCTGAATGTCACATGCAGTCTGAGTCCAAGGTCAGAGTGTTTGTATTAGCTGTTACAAACAAAAAGGCAATTACATATGAATAAATTCTCATTTTTCATTCCTTAGCAGTGCCAACATGACCAAAAAAGCTAAACTACAATCATTTTTAAATGTAAGTTAAAATAAATAAAACAAATCAGGAGTATTGACTGAATCACCACGGACGATGTTTAACTGGCTTTAATGCTGTTTGGAGCATGTTTTAGTTACAGAATCTCAAAGGCTTTGTGGCTTAATATCTTGTGATCTCACTTCACCTCTAAATGTTAGAAAGGTGTTTCTTTATGTGAATGGGTCACATTAGAATTCTGGTTTCATCTGAATTTATGTTGACTCTTGTGTCAAGCTGAACTGACTATGTTAAAACCTGTTGCTGAGCAGAGTACCTATGCAGTCGAGGCCGGTGTTGCAGACAAACCACTTGCTGATCCTGCCGTCTGCAGCCACAGAGAAGAGAGACTCTGCCTTCTCCTCTCCTGTCAGGCTCAACTCTTGTTGGGTCCACCTGAGCTGCCACACTGGATCCCAGTGCTTGTTGGGACATTCACTGTACACACAGACACAGACACAGACACAGACACACACACACACACACACACACACACAAAGAAATGAAGAGCAATAACATCAGTAGCACCAGTAACCAGTATTTTCAGTGTGTGGTGTAACACTGTCCACACAAAAAGTCCCACCTACTGCTGATGACACAGGACTTGTTGTCTTGGCTCCTCACATTGTAGATATTGATACTGCCATCTTGCATGCCCACAGCCAGCTGATTGGGGTTGATGGATGAGAAGTCCAGAGAAGTCACTGCGCTGTCACAATGGAAGACACGCTCAGGCCACTGCAGAGGGGACATATGACAACATCTGGAATGGACAGCTTGCATGAACAACTAAAATGCTTAAAGGGAAGTTTTGGTTTATTTCAACCTGTCTCCTATCGTCCTAAATTTGTTTCAAGTATCTAGTGATATAAAAATAATAGTTAGCATGTTAGCCATTAGCCTAGATACAGCCGGGGTGCATAGTAGCGTCAGACCTGTTAAAACGTAAGTGAATGGGCATCCCTTCAAGTGCAAAGTTAGTCCACTAAACAAGCTCTTTTTCCACAAAGACCGCCTCATATCGTTAGGATAAATGTCAGAGAACATATAGAAAACGACATGTAAACGTGTTGTCTTCCCTTACCGGTGTGCTGCCATGTTTGTTTACCATTTAGCTCTGCTTTCCAAAGCGCGGCCAAAATATGTCTCGCGAGCTCTAGATAAAGCCCAGCTGGATACTACTCCAGGTGGAGGTGTCTCGTCCTCGGTCACATCCAGACCTTGAAAATAAGGCTGCAACCGGTCCCATTCCTTGCAACAGAGGCATTCCTCTTCTGTGGGCACTGGGGCACAGCATTCACAGGTACACCACCAATCTCCAGAGCTACGCAGCCTTGCAGCAGCCATTCCTCCTCTCTCGTCCTCTAACTTTACCGGTTGCGCCTCTCTCTCTCCTCCTCCTCCGTTCTTCAATTTCACGAAGCTCTTCGTCAGTGTATTCTGGCTCAAATAAATAAGGGCGGCCATCAAACTCTGCAAAATCAAATTCCTCCTCCACAAAGTCGAAGTCTGGCAAAAAGTCAGCCATTATTCTATAAATCTTTCATAAAATAAATTAATGAACTTTTCAGGCTACTGTCTGGTTCTGCCTTCCAGCTGTTGCTGCTTGTTCTCGCGAGATTTCAGGCACGCTTTGGAAAGCAGAGCTAAATGGTAAACAAACATGGCAGCACACCGGTAAGGTAAGACAACACGTTTACATGTTGTTTTCTATATGTTCTCTGACATTTATCCTAATGATATAAGGCGGTCTTTGTGGAAAAAAAGCTTGTTTAGTGGACTAACTTTGCAGCTGAAGGTTGCCCGTTCACTTACGTTTTAACAGGTCTGACGCTACTACGTGCCCCGGCTGTATCTAGGCTAACATGCTAACTATTATTTTATGTCACTAGTCACTTGAAACAAATTTAGGACGATAGGAGACAGGTTGAAATAAACCTAAATTTCCCTTTAAGCAAAATTCTGCATGCTTTGGAGTAGACATGGAGCACTGGAGGTAAACAAAGGTTAAAATAAAGTCATACCGTGGAATTTTTGAGAGACCAGCAGCACACCAGGCCTTGTTTCTGGTTACTGGAGTCAAACACACCGTAGCCCACAGCCAGAAGGTCCTGATGGAGAAAGCAGAGCATCAGCACATCTGCCTAAGGCCCTATTCGCACAGGACTAGAGTTACCAGGGGAGCTCATGTGATTTAGAAATTACGTCCCTCATGTCTGTGTTTTATGTGGTGCACATGCACAGGATAAGTTATGTCTGTATTTTCCTCAAATTTATTGACATTATCTCCTGGATATGATATGTGCGACACAGCACAGAAATACTACATACATATGTAGTATAATACTCCATATTAGCAGTGGTATACAGTGTTAACCTTTTTCTTAAGATGTGGGTTAGACAAACAGAACCAATTTGGCCACACATTGTCACATGTCATCTGTCTCATCAACGCTGGTGATTTCGCTCATCTGATGCTTCCTCCTGCACCCTAAATGCTGTCAAAACTTTTATTTGTAATTGTCAATGCAGCCTATATAATTGTCGACAAGGAAACAGGCAGAAAGGAGGCTCAGAAAAAACCTTAATGTGACCCTAAATCACAGAGATGCTGATTTGCACCGGACTGATATCATCATGTCCTCTGTTTTTGGTGAAAAAAGGTGAGCAATTTTTGGTGGCTTTATACTCAACAAATTATGGATATGGCAGATTAAGCTCATAGATCAGTGTTGTAGTCAAGACCACCTAAACCGAGACCAAGTCATGACCAAGATCAGAATGTAACAAGACTGAGACAAGACAGACTCTGAGGGTTGAGATTGGGTCAAGACCAAGGCCAGACCAGTGTGCGTTCCAGACTGCAGGATACAGATAACCCACCCTTCCTCTCTTGGTTCAGGTCTCTCTCAAGCACCTTTTATTTTTTTTTCAAGGTCAGTTTCCTCTTTCTTTCTTTTCAAACCTCGATTTCCTTTTTTTGGGGAAAGACATGACAGTGTACATTGGTGCTCCAGCAGCATAAGCAGTCACTCACTTGTCTCTAGCTGCGTTTAGAGATGAATCCTAGAGCGAGGCAGACTAAACCATTTTGCACCTTTTATGGGTAAGAAGAACCTCAGAGAGCTTCCACTTTTTGTTTATACAAAGTTTATTCTTTCAAATTGAGTATTAAGCCTATTTTAATTTAGACATTGCTTTAGTTACTTACAAATAAAAAACTGCAAACAAAACCAAACTTTTCATTTCAGCCTTTTCAATGCCCAACTTTACAGCAGAAATAAACATGTTTACAGCCTGGTACAAATAAAAGTTTTGGTCTCTAAAGCTAATTTCAAAATCCATGTATATAACTCATCTGTTTAAATTGTATTAAGTCTTAAAGTATATATATGCATATATAAGGGCTGGCTGCTTTGAGTGACAGGTTGTCTGCTGATAGTGTCCTCTGCCTCTCAGTCAGATCCACCCCTCGCTCCTCCACAGCTCCAACCTCTCGCCCGAATATAGTTTTTTTTGGCCCCTCCAAAAAAAAAAAATTGCAACGGCGACGGAACTCAAGGCTTCAGAAAGGGAGTCCACAAACCAATGGGTGACATCATGGTAACTATATCTATTACTTTATACAGTGTATGGTGTTTCATCTTCCTGTATATTGCGCAAGCTCTCTTTCAACATTAGTGGATAAAGACATCAGAAAAATGGCAACAGGCGTGGAAAACACTGATGCAGCTGTTCACGTGCAGTGGTTAGCATTGGGAGAACCCTTCTGTGAGGAGCTTGCATGTTTTCCCTGGGTCAGGGTGGGTTTTTCTATGAGTATCCCACAGTCCAAGGACATGCTGGTTAATTGGTGACTCTAAATTGGCTGTAGGTGTGAATGTCTGTTTCTATGTGTCATTCTGGCGACCTGTCCAGGGTGTATCCCGCCTCTTGCCCAATGTCAGCTGAGATAGGCTCCAGCCCCCCCATGACCCTTAATGGGATAAGCGGCTAAGGAAAATGAATGGATGTTCAGGTAAGATGACGTACAGAAACAACGCTAATTTGGGTGAACTGCCCCTTTAAAGAATAATACAGAGTGACAAAATGTTGTCATCTAGGGGTGTCGGTGGCTTAGTGGCAGAGCAGGCGCCCCATATACAAGGCTGTTGCCGCAGCAGCCCGGGTTCAAGTCCAGCCTGTGGCCCTTTGCTGCATGTCACTCCCTCTCTCTCTCTCTCCCCCTTTCACACTTAACTGTCCTGTCCATTAAAGACAAAAAATGCCCAAAAAAATATCTTAAAAAAAAAAAAAATGTTGTCACCTACAATGTGCAATACTGAAGACACTATTAACACTACACACTATTATTTTATTTTCCCATGTTGCTAATCAGTAGTTAAAAAAACATTATCGTACAATACTGGCACATGTGACAGAGGCATTTCAGAACACCATCAAAGAAAATTAAATTATTATCCTTCTTTTTTGCAGACCACAGCAGGTGTGTGTGTGTGTGTGTGTGTGTGTGTGTGTGTGTGTCTGTGTGTTACCAGGTTCTTCTTGTTCCAGGCCATGCTGCTGACGCTGCGTCCTCTGGTGAGCTCACAGCTGAAAGCCAAAAGACGCTCCATGGCTGGAGATCGAGAGCTATCTGTGTCCTCCTCCCCCTGCTCCACTGTCCCAGACTGCAGCGGACTATCTGGGTCTAACACAATCATTACCTTTATACACACTTTTCACATTTCACCCGTTTCACTAATGAAGTGAATTCACATTCACTCCATTAGTATCCATTAACACTCTATCAGCCCTCACCCATGGGTGGGAGGCAATACGTGTGTATTGTATCACTTCTGAGGTGTAAATGACACCAGTCCAGACAGCATCCTTATCCATCTGTATTATCACTGGTGTATCAGTGATTCTAAAATGAAAGATAATTGCAGCCTACGTGATAATGAGCTAAGTTTACCTTCTATTACTGGCAGCTGTCTGTAAGCAGCCAGCTTGGGTTGGAAAGTGTTTCCCAGTACGGTCCTCTCCATTACCAGTAAGCAGTGTTGGAATTTCTCAGACAGCATGATCAGCTGCAGGTCTGACTCAGCATTTAAAGTGTTCCCAAATGCTTCCACTTCTTTCAGTGAGCTAGCAGCACTGGCTGAAGAGAAATACAAGGAAATTACACATGAAATGTATTGCAGAGCTATCCTAAATTATCAGTAAACATTTAAAAACTGTAAGAATTCATATTGATTCAGTTGTGATGTAGGGTCTGAACGATCATCTTCATTAATTTATACACTGCTGAATCATCCACCACAAACAAATTCTTGGCGATCTGTAGTGAAATTACACCCAGTACACCCAGAGTGAAGCAGCATGATTCCTCTCCAGTGTCCTGTACTGTTACCTGTGCTGGCTGTACTGCCCACTGACACGCTCCTCTCTGCACCTCTGCTTGTGTCTAACATGGCCTCTGGATAGTCAGCAGTCCCTCGGTCAGCGCTACACAGTGTTTGGTCCTGCTCAGGACTGATCAAAGTGTCATACATATCCCAGGTGGTAACAATCGTGGCTGTGAGCAGGAAAACATTTAAAAAGAATGACCATTTTGAAAAGCAGAACGCTATTAACTGTGCACTGAAGGATTGCTTTGCTGCAACCTTTCACTATCTGTAGGTTTAAGGTTGTGGGCACAAATTACAGCTGCAATGATTACTTGATTAATCAATTGAGAAAAAAATCATTAGCAAGACTTTTGTAAATTAATTAAGTAATTTAAAAAAAAGACTGGTTTTCAGCTCGTTGGTACTTTCTATGATAGTAATTTTAAAGGTTTGGTCTGTAGGATTCAGTGGCACCTAGTGGTGAGGTTGCAGGTTGCAGCAAAGTGAAACTTCTCCTGTGTGCCAAGCATGAAGAACCATAGTAACTAGTGCTGTTTTCAGATTGTTCCACTGCCCCCAAGTGGCTAAATAATAAATCAGCGAATGCAGATTTAACTTTGCAGGCTGTAAGGGAAAATACTGAGCCTTACCTGCATCCACCATCACCGTACTGTCACTCTGAACCAGTTTGTTTTTAGCTGCTCCATTCAATGTCTGCATTGATCGATCCACATACTTATCATTGCCCATTCTGTTTCTGCAGACCTCAGCATACTGATTGTTTCTCTCTCTGTAAAATAAAGTGAAGATGACAACAGCCTATTAAAACCACCAGAATATACATTTTTTAATTACTGACCAGAAGACAGAATTCATGTCACTGCATTAGTATGTGTGTCCAAGGACAGTATCATGGAGAAAGACACCTCACCTGTGAACTTTTGTGCACATTGAAAAGATAAAGAGTGGTGTGTCTTTCCCATGTGCATTTCTAATCTTGTCAAACACTTGAAAAAAAAAACCAGGAGGTAGAGGACTTCACTCACATCACAGCTTCTGCGTCATCAGCATCCACTGACACAAAGGTGCTGGATATGTCCAGCAGTGAGATGCTGTCTATCTCAGAGATGTAGACATCTGTGACCTCTTTCAACATGTCCTCTGTTACATGTTCTTTCACAGTGTTTCTTTTCTCCTGCACATCTGGCACGGAACAAAAGACATGAAAACTTTCACCAAATACCACAGACATGTCAGATATTACAGATGTAACTGTGTTTTACTGCATTTAATTTAATCAACTTATTGGCATTTACCAACAATAAAGATATAGCTATATAGATATTAAAAATTAATAATATTGTGATGAACCTGGGAAGATGAAGGGCATGTCCCGTTTGGAAAATGTATCCTCAATCTCCTCATTCATGGACTCTACGGTAGACTGGCTGGATATTCTGCTGCTTCCTAATATTGACCTGGTAAACAATGTCAGATTAGATCAGGGCCCTATTTCAGAAAGCAGGATTCGTGAAAACTCTGAGTATGTTAAGCCTGAAATGAGGGAAACTGATTTTTCGTTTCACAAAGCTAGTTCAGCAAAACCCTGAGTCAGTTACTATGGCAACATACTCTGTGAAGTTTCATGTAAGCCTGAGGCTGACCACCCCTCCTGATGGCTTTTGGTGCTTACCTTGCACACGTTTCCCTCAGGCTGAACATACTCAGAGTTGATTGAGTTAATTCTGATCAGCTGTTCTGGAACTGAAAATTTGAAGTTTCCCAGCTCAGGCTCAGTCAACTCAGAGATCTGGATTAGGCTCAAAGTTTTTTGAGCCTGCTTTCTGAAATAGGGCCCTGGTGAACGTATGTGGCAACACATGCACTGATGAACTACACAAAAAGGGATGATAAACACTGTAAACAGATATGATACATTACCTTCCAAAACACACAAGTCATATTTTTTGTATATAAAGATAAAATGATTATTTTCCTGCCCAACAACATCTCTACGGTCAATAAATCATACACTGGACTACTTATAGGTGATTTGATTGATTTATTGTTGGTTTATTCTTAATAAAGCCACCTGTGGTAAACAATTGCAAGTCACATATTAAACAAAATTGCTGGTGTTTTTCTTCAGTTTTTCTGAATTCACCCAGTGTTTGAACTTAAGGGATTCACACCCTCATACCACCTCTGATCATCAGCTCGGAAGGTAGCCTACCTGGAGAAAGGCAGACTGAAGCTCCCACTGGCTGTTGTCTGATCTGATACTGATCCGGCAGATATTTCATCCAGAAACAACCGGCTGGCTTTGACCTGTGCAGCTGCGGGATCTGCCTGGCACAGTGGCTGAGGAGTGACATCATTTTCGTCTTCATCAAACACCTGCAAACAGCACAACAATTACCCACGTATTTGCTACTACGGTGAAGTCGGGTAATTTGAGCCCAACTGAAAACTTAGTGTTAGTTGTAGAACTTGTTATGTATTTCTGCTGTATTTCTAGAAAGAAAATATGTTGCCAAGTAAAGTAATTGAGAAACATCAAGAACCCCGACCTCTGATGACATGTTCAGGCAAAATGGGACAGCTGGTGAGGTAAAATGGGACAGTCATGTTTGTTTGTTTTTTAACTGGTTAAGTCCATTTATCAGTTCAGTCCATAATGTAACCTAACTACTCATCAAAAAAGATCCTCCAACTTTTCTGCCATGCTTTCTCTGTTCTTTTGCTGCCTGTGTCCTTTGTGCCATATTGTCTATAATGAACATGTGTAAGTGTAACACTAAGTACACTGACATGCACAGTTAAGTGGAGCTATATAGCTCTATAACGCTCTCTAACTTTACAGCTTTGTACATTTCGTCCATCCAAAAATGCATGGCTCTGGATGTGGATTTCACCATGTTGTTATCGGCTTCTTCTTCTGTTACGCAACTAATGCTATTTGACTTCTGGGTCAAAGTCTGGAGCGTAAACTGTGGAGCATGTGCAGAGTGCCTGGGCCAATTTGGGTCCAACTGACTGTGTACATGCAGAAGTAATTCAACTTTAAGTCATTATCTGGGTTAGTCTGACTTTGAGAAATTCCATTAGTATGATTTCAATTGCACTAATATGTCTGCATGTATTTTAAAAGTCCAGTTTTAGTTGGACTGACACAATAAATCCATTTTCTCTAATGTCATGTAAACGTACTGAATGATTAATATTTTTAGAAGTGACAAAAATACTGAAAATGTCTGTAATATGACAGGATGGCACACAATAGCATATGTTAAAATTTTATGGCAGATGGTAGCCTAAAATCATGCCGGTATCGCTGCAGAAAAATGTCCAGTTTTAGCTTAATTTTTTGTCCTAATTTACCTGAATGCACCAAGTACTCACTTAAAACCCAAAATGCTTTGATTGTACAGCTAACAGAAGAAAATGCAGCATCCTACCACTATCGTTGTTGTTATACCCTTATTGTTTTACTCTCATTCCCAGAAAGAGATAATCAACATGCCACATGACTTTTCTTTCAACTTGTGGTAACAGTGGATTTTTGACTCTTTGTTGGACCCATCCTCGCTATTTCAGACCTATCGAAATGACTGTTACATCTAAAGCACATGTGTGGTAACAATGCAATAACATGTCTGATAATGTTAAACCTTATTTGTCCCATTTTACCTGAAGTCCCACACCGTCACCCTATGTCAACCTACTGCTGCTACTACTGAAAAAAGGACGGGGCACTGAGCTAAATCCTTGTAGCCTGTCGGTAGGCTATAATATACCCGAACAGCTTGTCTCGGAGTCTGAATGTTGCTCTTGTCCAGGACTTTGCTTCCACCACCCAGGCTGAAACTTTTCCTGCTCGAGGAGCCGAGGACGCTGTTTGAGTCTCTTGTGCTGTGGTTGACTCCATGTAGTAAACCTGATACTGAAATTTGTCGGGAGGAGCTAGGAGACAGCAAAATAACACATTAGCACAACAGTTAGCATGTAGGCTTGCGATAACCATGGTGACAAAAAAGAGTGAAACTTACGGCCTCAGCACCAGAGTGCGTCTCTTCTGCCTTTCTTCTTTGGCCAGAGAGGTGGACATATTGCAGCGTTGCTGTATGCTTCCTTACTACGTTGCCATAGCAACGTGACGTCCACAATAGTATAGGCTACCGTCCCGCCTGTGTGTTTATGGACACCACATAGAAATGAACAATCAATAAATAAATGGAAGCAATTACGGATACCAGCTTCTGTTTGTTACGGGTTAAAAAACAAAGAGAAAGAACTACCTGTAAACACCAGTGGAGCTGACTGGCAGTTCGCGGTGGGACTCAAACTGGAGTGCGCATACTTTAAAGACACAAGAAAACCTAAAGGCTTCAGGAAACACATGATCTTTACAAATAGGCCTATTGTTCCTTTTACTCCACAACATTTGTCTGAACAGTTGATGAACCCGATTAGGGACTGTACTCTACATATCAGAGTATGGGGTGGCTGCTGGACTGCGACTTAGTTTTTTAAAAACCCGTTCAGAACACAATTATGTTTCAAACATACAAAAAAAATCGTAATGGTGGATTTCTACTCTAAATGCACACGTAAATAATAAATAAACAAAACAATAAATAAAAAATATATAGTCTTAAAAGTCTTTTTTTAGAGATTATGAGATTATTTCTTTTCAATGAGTAATGAATAAAGTGATTTTGCATTGTATTTGTTATCACGGCTCAAAATACCCTTAACTTCTGGAATGTCTCCAGAAAACAGTATGTTGAAATCCTCCAGAGATGAGCATTCTGTAAACATCATCAATATGATGCATTAAAACATAATTGAATCATTAGAAAATCAAATCAGAACAGTATTTCCCTATTTAGTCAGTAGGCTATTTCATTTTCCAGTTGATGAATATTTTTGACAGTGAGTGTAAGATATAAATCTTTTATATGATTTATTGACATGTATAATTCATATAACATCTCGTGTTTACACAGTTTAAACACAAATTATGTGCTTTAGTGATATTATTTATGGACTGAAACATGCCTTGCGCTTCCTGCTTGCCTCATGGTCAGCCACGCTTGTTAAAAAAGGGGGCGTGGCTCTATTGCAGTCCACTTTAGATGTGGAACACTGTGATTAGTTTATAGACATCCAGTCAAATAAAGGTGTGTTCAGAATTGCATACTATTTTGTTTTACTTTTAGTAGGTACTGCAGCTGCCCTTTAAAAAATACATACTGTACATGCAGTATGCACAACCGGGACATAGCCTACTACTGTCTCATAACATTACACCCTGAACTTTGACCCTAAAATTAATGCAAAACATGACCATTTAGAGTTGAATGCCCCCCAAAGTCAATTTTAAAAAAAAATCACACAACTCTCTCCCCAGTGCTTAAAAATATTTGAAGTGCCTCCCTTATTTTGCACCATCCCCTCCCCTCTCATAAGTAACAAACACTAGCTATTGAACCAGAGCCTTTGCTGCCAATAACACAGCCTGTGAATGTACATGGAAAATAAGAGGTGTTCTCGGTGATTAGTTTAATAAGCACATAAGACCAGAGGAAAAAAAGCAAATGCACATGAGAATATGATAAATCCCTCTTTGGTCACAATGTAATGATGTTAGGGAGTGTAGGGAATGAGAAAAACTACCATGATATCTGAACAGCGTTATAGAATACTTAATCATACAATGTGAAATGATAGCAGACACTCATTACATTTACATTACATTTTTTACACTACAGGTTTCATGTTCACATTTCAACATACAGTATGTTTGTGACTGGCACAAAGTGAGAAGAAAAAAAACAAAATGTCAATAGGACATTTTGGATTTCAGAACAAGCATAAAGCACTATTAGGAGACAGGTTTAACTTCTGGGGGAAAAAAGAAGAAAATCTAGATCACAGCTACACAATTTATAGTTTTGCTTCCAGGGCATTGGGAGAGTGCATTGTAATAAGCCAGCTGGGGATTTGGATCTATTGATTTTGAAACATGAAGCATTTCAGACACTAAAGTTAACCTTTAGAATTAATTGATAATTCGTTTTCATACAATTTGTCATTAATTCTATTGGAATTTGACTTTGTTTATTTGGCTGGATAGATTTTTTTATTTGCAAACCACAGATACATTTGTCCATCATTAATACTCACTTTTGGTGGCACAATCCTGCTAGAAATGCAGCAATGACTTGCTAAAAGCAACCAGTTTTTTTGTTTTTTGGACTTCAACAGTGGTCAGCAGCTTGGCAGGCATCCCTCCCTGGTGCCGTCCACCATCCTCTCCACCTCCTGATGGTGAAATTAGCTCATATACTACACTTTAGAAATGTTGATACAGTATGTACAGTACAGGCCAAAAGTTTGGACACACCTTCTCATTCAATGCGTTTTCTTTATTTTCATGACTATTTACATTGTAGATTCTCACTGAAGGCATCAAAACCATGAATGAACACATGTGGAGTTATGTACTTAACAAAAAAAGGTGAAATAACTGAAAACATGTTTTATATTCTAGTTTCTTCAAAATAGCCACCCTTTGCTCTGATTACTGCTTTGCACACTCTTGGCATTCTCTCGATGAGCTTCAAGAGGTAGTCACCTGAAATGGTTTTCCAACAGTCTTGAAGGAGTTCCCAGAGGTGTTTAGCACTTGTTGGCCCCTTTGCCTTCACTCTGCGGTCCAGCTCACCCCAAACCATCTCGATTGGGTTCAGGTCCGGTGACTGTGGAGGCCAGGTCATCTGCCGCAGCACTCCATCACTCTCCTTCTTGGTCAAATAGCCCTTACACAGCCTGGAGGTGTGTTTGGGGTCATTGTCCTGTTGAAAAATAAATGATCGTCCAACTAAACGCAAACCGGATGGGATGGCATGTCGCTGCAGGATGCTGTGGTAGCCATGCTGGTTCAGTGTGCCTTCAATTTTGAATAAATCCCCAACTGTGTCACCAGCAAAACACCCCCACACCATCACACCTCCTCCTCCATGCTTCACAGTGGGAACCAGGCATGTGGAATCCATCCGTTCACCTTTTCTGCGTCTCACAAAGACACGGCGGTTGGAACCAAAGATCTCAAATTTGGACTCATCAGACCAAAGCACAGATTTCCACTGGTGTAATGTCCATTCCTTGTGTTTCTTGGCCCAAACAAATCTCTTCTGCTTGTTGCCTCTCCTTAGCAGTGGTTTCCTAGCAGCTATTTGACCATGAAGGCCTGATTGGCGCAGTCTCCTCTTAACAGTTGTTCTAGAGATGGGTCTGCTGCTAGAACTCTGTGTGGCATTCATCTGGTCTCTGATCTGAGCTGCTGTTAACTTGCCATTTCTGACGCTGGTGACTCGGATGAACTTATCCTCAGAAGCAGAGGTGACTCTTGGTCTTCCTTTCCTGGGTCGGTCCTCATGTGTGCCAGTTTGGTTGTAGCGCTTGATGGTTTTTGCGACTCCACTTGGGGACACATTTAAAGTTTTTGCAATTTTCCGGACTGACTGACCTTCATTTCTTAAAGTAATGATGGCCACTCGTTTTTCTTTAGTTAGCTGATTGGTTCTTGCCATAATATAAATTTTAACAGTTGTCCAATAGGGCTGTCGGCTGTGTATTAACCTGACTTCTGCACAACACAACTGATGGTCCCAACCCCATTGATAAAGCAAGAAATTCCACTAATTAACCCTGATAAGGCACACCTGTGAAGTGGAAACCATTTCAGGTGACTACCTCTTGAAGCTCATGGAGAGAATGCCAAGAGTGTGCAAAGCAGTAATCAGAGCAAAGGGTGGCTATTTTGAAGAAACTAGAATATAAAACATGTTTTCAGTTATTTCACCTTTTTTTGTTAAGTACATAACTCCACATGTGTTCATTCATAGTTTTGATGCCTTCAGTGAGAATCTACAATGTAAATAGTCATGAAAATAAAGAAAACGCATTGAATGAGAAGGTGTGTCCAAACTTTTGGCCTGTACTGTATAAAACAAACAAATGTATCGTATTCATGGTTTGCAGTAACGTCCAATGCCAACATTTTCTTCTGGCAGTTGGGATGGACTGGGAACCATCACAAGTCATAAATTCTGTCTGTGCTTTCACTGCTATATTAAGTCAAAATGCCTGCTGTGTGAGACAAGTCTGTGAATCTGACACATTTGAGAGCATCAAGAAGACTGCTCTGATACTACAGCAAACTAACAGGGTTTAGGTCAAGATTTGAGTCAGCAAAACAACAGAGTGAAAGATGGACAGGTTTCTGACAGGTGTGAAAAGAAAGACAGCAGATGCTTTTCAAATAAACACATGAAATAAGATTCAAACCATGAAGAAGCCCCCTGAGTTCTCTGTCAGTACAGCAGGCGAGCCTGGTGTCTTTTGTGCAGAAAAACTGGTTGTTAGGCACTATTGGAGAACCAGTAACTGGCAAATCTTTAGTTTTGTTGCAAGTTTTTTGCTTCATGCAGCACAGGCACTGTGTTACAGTTTCTGATAAATGGTAATAAACATTTGTCAATAATGACTTCTTTTATTTCAGCACAGCAGAAGTCAATGTGGACTAAACTGTGGATCACTTTTCATTGTTTTGACATAAAATGCATTCAGTGATCTTTCAAAAACTTTTTCTCCCTCAAACTCAACCACCTCCAGATCTCTGTGTATTTTTGTAACATTTGCGTGTTTACATACTATTTTAAAAACTGTTCAATTTACATTCAAAACCTAACATAAGAAATAACTGCTGTAAATCAGACCACAGTTCGCTACATTCTGCTACATCTACAAAAAATGCAATGAATAAATAAAAGTGCATAAACTCCTGATCAGGGCATACAATACAAAGCACCTGTTTTCATTCCTTGATAACTTCTATGAAAGACTTGTGACAGGTGAGGAAAGGGGGCATTTTGTAATAGCATAGGACGATGTGACATTTCCAGCCCAATCACCAGGAGAAAAAAAATGGCATTGGACAGTCCTGCAAACCATGATATGTTATGTTTCCATGTTATTATGTAGCGGATACATTCAACTTTACGTTTCAACCATGCTGTGATTAATGTGTGGTTAGGTTTAAGCACAAAAAAACACTTATTATGGTTGGGAAAGATCATGTTTTGACTTAAAATACTCGGTTTGGGAGGCACAATCCCAGCAGGAAATGCAGCAACATCTTGGTAAAAAACAACTGCTTTTCATGCCTCTATCCCTGCTGGAAACACAGAGATGGGTTGACACAAAATACCCACATCTGGAGTCTAAATACAACCAGTCTTCTTGTTTTTTAGGCTTGCATAGTGGTCTGTAACTTGGCAGGTG